ATAGGACAGCTCTGGAGGGATAGGGCCGCAATAGGACAGCTCTGGAGGGATAGGGCCGCAATAGGACAGCTCTGGAGGGATAGGGCCGCAATAGGACAGCTCTGGAGGGATAGGGCCGCAATAGGACAGCTCTGGAGGGATAGGGCCGCAATAGGACAGCTCTGGAGGGATAGGGCCGCAATAGGACAGCTCTGGAGGGATAGGGCCGCAATAGGACAGCTCTGGAGGGATAGGGCCGCAATAGGACAGCTCTGGAGGGATAGGGCCGCAATAGGACAGCTCTGGAGGGATAGGGCCGCAATAGGACAGCTCTGGAGGGATAGGGCCGCAATAGGACAGCTCTGGAGGGATAGGGCCGCAATAGGACAGCTCTGGAGGGATAGGGCCGCAATAGGACAGCTCTGGAGGGATAGGGCCGCAATAGGACAGCTCTGGAGGGATAGGGCCGCAATAGGACAGCTCTGGAGGGATAGGGCCGCAATAGGACAGCTCTGGAGGGATAGGGCCGCAATAGGACAGCTCTGGAGGGATAGGGCCGCAATAGGACAGCTCTGGAGGGATAGGGCCGCAATAGGACAGCTCTGGAGGGATAGGGCCGCAATAGGACAGCTCTGGAGGGATAGGGCCGCAATAGGACAGCTCTGGAGGGATAGGGCCGCAATAGGACAGCTCTGGAGGGATAGGGCCGCAATAGGACAGCTCTGGAGGGATAGGGCCGCAATAGGACAGCTCTGGAGGGATAGGGCCGCAATAGGACAGCTCTGGAGGGATAGGGCCGCAATAGGACAGCTCTGGAGGGATAGGGCCGCAATAGGACAGCTCTGGAGGGATAGGGCCGCAATAGGACAGCTCTGGAGGGATAGGGCCGCAATAGGACAGCTCTGGAGGGATAGGGCCGCAATAGGACAGCTCTGGAGGGATAGGGCCGCAATAGGACAGCTCTGGAGGGATAGGGCCGCAATAGGACAGCTCTGGAGGGATAGGGCCGCAATAGGACAGCTCTGGAGGGATAGGGCCGCAATAGGACAGCTCTGGAGGGATAGGGCCGCAATAGGACAGCTCTGGAGGGATAGGGCCGCAATAGGACAGCTCTGGAGGGATAGGGCCGCAATAGGACAGCTCTGGAGGGATAGGGCCGCAATAGGACAGCTCTGGAGGGATAGGGCCGCAATAGGACAGCTCTGGAGGGATAGGGCCGCAATAGGACAGCTCTGGAGGGATAGGGCCGCAATAGGACAGCTCTGGAGGGATAGGGCCGCAATAGGACAGCTCTGGAGGGATAGGGCCGCAATAGGACAGCTCTGGAGGGATAGGGCCGCAATAGGACAGCTCTGGAGGGATAGGGCCGCAATAGGACAGCTCTGGAGGGATAGGGCCGCAATAGGACAGCTCTGGAGGGATAGGGCCGCAATAGGACAGCTCTGGAGGGATAGGGCCGCAATAGGACAGCTCTGGAGGGATAGGGCCGCAATAGGACAGCTCTGGAGGGATAGGGCCGCAATAGGACAGCTCTGGAGGGATAGGGCCGCAATAGGACAGCTCTGGAGGGATAGGGCCGCAATAGGACAGCTCTGGAGGGATAGGGCCGCAATAGGACAGCTCTGGAGGGATAGGGCCGCAATAGGACAGCTCTGGAGGGATAGGGCCGCAATAGGACAGCTCTGGAGGGATAGGGCCGCAATAGGACAGCTCTGGAGGGATAGGGCCGCAATAGGACAGCTCTGGAGGGATAGGGCCGCAATAGGACAGCTCTGGAGGGATAGGGCCGCAATAGGACAGCTCTGGAGGGATAGGGCCGCAATAGGACAGCTCTGGAGGGATAGGGCCGCAATAGGACAGCTCTGGAGGGATAGGGCCGCAATAGGACAGCTCTGGAGGGATAGGGCCGCAATAGGACAGCTCTGGAGGGATAGGGCCGCAATAGGACAGCTCTGGAGGGATAGGGCCGCAATAGGACAGCTCTGGAGGGATAGGGCCGCAATAGGACAGCTCTGGAGGGATAGGGCCGCAATAGGACAGCTCTGGAGGGATAGGGCCGCAATAGGACAGCTCTGGAGGGATAGGGCCGCAATAGGACAGCTCTGGAGGGATAGGGCCGCAATAGGACAGCTCTGGAGGGATAGGGCCGCAATAGGACAGCTCTGGAGGGATAGGGCCGCAATAGGACAGCTCTGGAGGGATAGGGCCGCAATAGGACAGCTCTGGAGGGATAGGGCCGCAATAGGACAGCTCTGGAGGGATAGGGCCGCAATAGGACAGCTCTGGAGGGATAGGGCCGCAATAGGACAGCTCTGGAGGGATAGGGCCGCAATAGGACAGCTCTGGAGGGATAGGGCCGCAATAGGACAGCTCTGGAGGGATAGGGCCGCAATAGGACAGCTCTGGAGGGATAGGGCCGCAATAGGACAGCTCTGGAGGGATAGGGCCGCAATAGGACAGCTCTGGAGGGATAGGGCCGCAATAGGACAGCTCTGGAGGGATAGGGCCGCAATAGGACAGCTCTGGAGGGATAGGGCCGCAATAGGACAGCTCTGGAGGGATAGGGCCGCAATAGGACAGCTCTGGAGGGATAGGGCCGCAATAGGACAGCTCTGGAGGCTGGAGCTGCAATGGGACAGCTCAGCACTGGAGGAAAGGTGTCCTGACTATCGGGAAGCCGGGCTACCTTAAGCTGAGGTGCAGTGGGGGATCATCTCCCTTCAAGATATAGAGATCCTGCTCCTCTCCTGGACAGCAGCTACAGCTGAGTTCTGCTCTGTTCCCTTACATGAACGTCCTACAGAGCTATCTGTTTCTTCTCCAGCCCAAGATGTTTCTTCTGCTAGCACTGTGCTGGGGGAAGCTGCAAATTTCAGTGTTTACCCTGCTGAGTTGTGATCTTGCTTAAACTGATCTTTCCTAGCTACGCTTCTGTTTGTCTTTTTTCAAATGGGAATGCTAAAATCGTACACACACACACACTTACATGAGTTTACAGCTTGCCCTGAGTCTCAGAACAGACTCTGAATTGGGATTTTGAACAGTGGAATAACTGTGGGACTACTGAAAATCTGAAGACAGACTGAACGCATTTTACATAATGAGACGGCCATGAGCCTAAGGACCCAGTAGTCAAATGGGAAACATCCCTTGGAGGTTCATTTCTCTAACTAATGGAATTATTGAAAGGTGAGCCTCACTAAAGGAAATAGTTAATTAAAGTGAGGGTTGGAGGATCTATTAGTCTTTAAATTTATAACTTGACCTCAGTTCCTCCCAGTGTCAGCTCCCTTGTTTCCTGAGCCACAAACCCTTCCACCACTGTGCTGTCTCCACTGTAACAGGCTGTACTCTCAAACTGTGAGACCAAGTCTTTCTGTAAGCTGCTTCTCATCAGCCACATGGTTTCACTGATAAGGGAAGTAAATACAGATGGGTAATCATTTGGTAAAGTAGCAGGATTTGGGGAGGGGGGATTGAGTCAGGGTTTCTCTTTGTAAACTTGACTGTCCTGGAATTCACTCTGTATACCATGTCGGCCTCAAAGACACAGAGATCCTCCCGCCTCTGTCTCCCAAGTGCTGGGATTAAAGATGCGTGCTACCATACCTGGCAGTAGCTACAACCTTAACCCTTAAAAAAGATAACTACTATTGCTGGCACATACATATTACAACCCCTGCCCAACCCCTGCCTCACATCTCTTTGTACGGGATATAGTTTAACCAGAGGCACTACATTCGGTCATTTATGCATCGGTATTTGGCTGTTTGGTGCTGTGATAGCAGGACTACATAGGTGAAATGGAAACCAGAGGGACCACAAGATTCAAATATTTACTATCTACTCAAAAGAAGTTTGCTGATTTGTACCATACAGCAATAGAAGGAAGCATGTAAAAATGTAACATTTTAGGATGGTAGAGAATATATATACGGCAGTGACGACAAGGAGAGCACACACTGCAGTGACAAGGAGAGGACAGACTGACTGCAGTGACAAGGAGAGGACAGACTGACTGCAGTGACAAGGAGAGGACAGACTGCAGTGACAAGGAGAGGACACACTGACTGCAGGGACAAGGAGAGGACAGACTGACTGCAGTGACAAGGAGAGGACAGACTGCAGTGACAATAAGGAGAGGACAGACTGCAGTGATGACAAGGAGAGGACAGACTGACTGCAGTGACAATAAGGAGAGGACACACTGCAGGGACGACAGGCTGACTAGTTTTCATAGTCAACAATCCCAAAGACTAGACAAACATACAGGTGTTTTCCTATCCCCAAAATAGTAGTCATTTTAAAACTAAGGTTACAGATTCTATGTTGAGTACAAATATGAAAAGTTACCTAAACGGCATACCTAAGAAACTTACAAGCATCATATATTAAGGCATAATACCAGGCTATAAAATAATTTTTCTGACTCTACCTCTTAAAACTGAATCTTATTATGTGAGAACCATAAACATAAAGTATCAGCAGAAATGTACAAAGAGGACTAAGGAGATGACTCCATGGGTAAAGTCCCTGCTCACAAGCCTGACGACCCGAGTTCAGATCCTAGAACACACTTTAGCCTTGAGGAGGAGGGTGGAGGAAAGGCAGAGAGGTGGATCCCTGAACCTCAATGGCTTAACCAAAGTAGTAACCTGAATTCAGGTTCACTGAGAGACCCTGTTTCAAAAAAATAAAGATGCAGAGCAACTGAGCAAAGTATGCAACACCAACCTTGGGCCAATGCATGCAAATTCAACAGTGTACATGTGCACCCCTACACACACACCCACATCACACAACACAAGCACACGCACGCATGCATGGAAAAGAGAAATACATAAAGGGCAAAATACACTGAAGTCGCTTGCAATCTGGATGGTAATAATAATAATCTCTAAGACTTAGAGTCTAACAGTAGTTAAGTATATTTTAATCTCTATATTTCCTTAAATTTTATGTAAATGGTTTCCTTATCCACTTATAACCCACAGTATATAAAAAAGTAAAAACTGTATTACCTGAATTGGATGTTCACTAAATGAGGCTGAGAGCCATCAGATTGCCAGTAAGTTTCTAGATTGTCATCTCGTAATTGGTCCACACCAAACCCTAGAAACAGTGAAAATGGCAATAAATTTCTATGAAAAAGTTATATATTTAAAACATAAAATTATCATACATATTTGTCCAGAAATTTTGATAAAGACTTTATCAAAATATAAAACTTAACCGAAACTCTCTCACTCTTTCATTCGGATCTCAGCTCAAGAAATACCACTACTGGCTGGTTGGTTGTGTCGATCACTGTCAGACCGCTTGTTTCTTATATGTGAGGCCCTGGGTCAATCCCCTTCACACACAGGACAAATATTTTGAGTGGCTGGTTTTTTTAAAAGGCATCTCTGGGGATAAAGTCCTTATTTTCTCAAATCCTTTTTATAAACCAATCATAAGAACGATCCATCCTGTGATAGCCTTTAGAATAGGCAGATTTGAGCAGGCTCATTATCCCATCTTAGCTCTTTGCTACTTTTTAAGTTCCCTAGTAAAGATAACTAAATTTCATGGTTCTTAAGAGAGTCCTTGTTAAACAATCTATTGAGTTAAAGGCTTCTTCTACTTATTCCACTTTGGCTATATTTTTTCCCCTGTTTTACAATTTTATTTCTATTTTATTTCAAAGAATTTCATGAAGTGGTATTTAGTCTTAAGCAAAACAAGTATTAAACAAAAATCTTTAACTCAAGACTAATTTGAAATTTGCTTCTAAGACATTACTTAGTATTGTCTATTAAAGTATAATGGGAAAAACAAATAAGCATAATCTTTTGAGAACTGATCATTCTGGACCTTTCCTCTAGGACACTGAGTATGATTACCAGTTTCCACGTGCACATTTTTTCTCACAAGCAGAATGTATTATGAGCATAAGTTCACATGCTGATGTTACCTCTTTCTTAAGTGTCCAATGTGATTATTGTATCTGAGTTGTCTTAGTCAAAAAAAGACTTTAAGACAATGGCAGATCTGTTTTAATGGCTTTGACAGGTATTATGTACCCAGGTAAAGAACATTATTCAGAGGGAAAAAACTTTTATAAATCATAACAGGCTTCAGTGGTTCTCTTTTTAAGGTTCTACTGCTTGCAGACATTAGAAGAGGACACTGGTCCCATGAAGTGGGAGTTAGAGGTGGTTGTGAGCCGCACAATATAAAATTGGCAACTGAACTCAGGTCCTCTGGAAGAGAGCAAGGGTTCAACAGTTGAGCTCTCCCCAGTTGCAGTGGTCCTACAGTGCGGCCCTGCAGCTGCAACATCACTCTAGAGCTCTACATCAGCAATTCTGAGAGCCTGCCTCACTCAAAGTATGTTTGAGGAATCTTTTGGATGATTCTGGTGTGTGCTAAGATGTCACAGCCACTTCTCTAAGGTTGCACTTCTTGTACTTGTCTTGGCTCTACTCATTTTTTGGACTCATCAATGCCTTGTTATGAGGTCACTGTCCTGACCTCTACTTAGGTGATGCCCAGAAAACAACTCTCCCTCCTTCCCATGGTCATGATTACAGTCAATCAATCTGTAGACACTGCTAAAGGACGGGGCTAGGGTATGAGCAATAAAACCATCCATAAGTAAAAACAACTGTCCCAAGGCAAAGAGAAACAATATTCTTTGTGGTTATGGTTATTGTTTAGTAAATACTCACTTTTTTCTCTTGGCCCTCCATCGGGGGAATATGGTCATATTTGGGTTAAGTCCAGACTGATTTGAATTCGACACAATGTGAATGAATATGACACAAGCTGCGGTTTTAATGTGTTTGCAAGGTCTGGATTAACCCTTTAAAAGTCTCTACCACATTAAGAGAGCATGTCTGGATTCATAGGGCAGACACCATTCATTACATGAAAGATATATTTTAAGTGTCCAAGCCATTTTCTTCTTAAGCATCTCTAGAAACACAATTACTTTCAGACTGGATAGGGGGTTACTGTAACTCAACCACATGCTTTGACTTTGAAGACCTAACAAGTAATGTGGTGTTATAAACCCTTAATCCTAGAACTTGGAAGGCACAGGCAGGCAGATAGCGTGTGTGTTTGAGGCCAACCTGATCTACTAGAGAATTTCAAACCAGCCAGCGCTACATAGTAAGACCCCATCAGAAAGATACAGACAGACAGAGAGAAAAAATATAGCCTTCGTAAAAGAATTCATCTATAATTGTATCCTACAACTGTTTACAGTTCAGCTAAACAAAACCAATGAGCTTTCTCCTTGTACTTAAAATCCAAATTCTTTTTCTTTTTCCTTTGGTTTTCTGAGACAGGGTTTCTCTGTAGCTTTTGAGCCTGTCCTGGAACTAGCTCTTGTAGACCAGGCTGGCCTCGAACACCGGAGTGCTGGGATTAAAGGTGTGCATCACCAACGCCTGGTCAAATCCAAATTCTTTGTGTGTGCATGCATGTCTTATGTGTTCATGCATATATGTGTACATGCACAGACCAGAAGCTGATACTAGGTATCTTCCTCTATCACTCTCCACTTTATTTTGAATGCATATGTATGTTGGTGCATGTATGTACACATGGGTGAAGGGTTACACAAAAACGTAAAAGTCAGGCATCAATGTTAGGAGTTTTACTGGGAGGTTTTGTGTGTCAACTTGACACAAGCTAGAATCATCAGAGAGAAAGAAGACTCCATGTGATCCAGCTGTAAGGCATTTTCCCATCTAGTCATCAATGAGGGAGGGCCCAGCCTCTGGTGGGTGGTGCTATATCTGGGCTGGTGGTCCTGGGTTCCATAAAAAGGCAAACTGAGCAAGCCCTGGAAAGCAAGCCAGTAAGCAGCTTCCCTCCTTGGCCTCTACATCAGCTTCTGCCTTCAGGTTCCTGTCCTGTTTGAGTTCCTATCCTGACTTCTTTCAGTGATGAACAGTGATGTGGAAGTAGAAGCCAAATAAATGCTTTCCTCTCCAACTAGCTTTTTGGTCATGGTGTTTCACTGCAGCAATAGAAATCCTAACTAAGACAGGTGTCTTGCTCAATTACTTTCTTCATTATTTTATAAGATAGTGTCTCTCACTGACCCTGGAGCTCATCAAGTCAGCAAGACTATCTGGCCAGCAAGTCCCAGGGATCCTCTTATCTCTGCCTTCCAAGCCCTGGAAGTAGAGGCATCCCTGACACACCAGGATTTTTACATAGGTGCCAGGGATCAAAACTCAAGTCCTATAGCTAGAGAGGCGGATCAGCAGTTAAGAACATTTGCTGCTCTTGCAGAAGACACAGCTTCAGTTCCCAGCATCCATGTGTCATATTCATTTATAACACCAGTTCCTAGGGATCCAACGTGTGCCAGAGGCATCAGGCACACACAGTGCATACACATACATGCAGGCAAACAATCATATATATAAAATAAATTAAAAAAGAAAAAGAAAATCTCACTGGGCAGTGGTATACACCTTTAATCCTAGAGTGCTCAGGAGGTAGAGACAGGCAGAGTGAGTTCGAGGCCAGCCTGGTCTTCAAGAGCTAGATCCAGGACAGGCTCCAAAGCTACACAGAGAAACCCTATCTTGAAAAAGAAACAATGATAATGTTGATGATGATAATGGACTATGATGTAGAAGTGTAAGCCAAATAAATAAACCCTTTCTTCCCCACTTTATTTTTGGTCATAGCATTTCATCATAACAATAGTAACCCTGACTAAGTCAGAAACTATGCCAAGAAAAATGACCAGGTTTTCAATAACAGCAGTAACAACTGAAGATCACTGCAGTTATGTCAAGCTGATTTCCCACAGAATCAGTGAACTGACAATAAAAAAAGGAACATCCTACCAACACCTACAATAGCAAAACTCACAAACCTACTACACTATGTAAAGAAGCCAGACTCAAAAGTTTCCATACCATAGGACTATATTCATAATAGAATTCTTCAGCTGGGTAGTGGTGCCTCAGGCCTTTAATACCAGCACTTGGAAGACAGAGACAGGCAGATCTTTGAAAATTTTACACTGATCTTTTTTAAATTATTACAGAAAAGAAGAAAATGCCTATCAAATTAAAGGTTAGATAAATGCGAAGAGATACACACATATCCTACCCTGACACATATTAGCAAAAGACATCGACTCCAAGAATAAAGAGAAAAATATTAAATGCTTCCAGAAAGAACAGCAAGCATAAAATGTGAATTAAACAACTAAATAACAGCAGAAATGGCACAGGAGGAGGAGACAGTCTTATAAGAAACTTAAATCTAACAAATATTAAAAATCTCATTAGTATTAGTAATACAATTGGATGAAAACAACACAATAAATGAAAACCCAGTTCATAGAATTAAAATATCTACACACACACACACACACACACACACACACACAATTAAAGGTAGTCCAATACATAAGAAAATTATTAGTAAGTTGGGCAATGCCTTTATTCCCAGCACCTGGGAGGCAGAGGCAATCAGATCTCTGAGTTGAAGGCCAGCCTGGTTTACAGAGCAGTTCTAGGACAGCCAGGACTACACGGAGAAACCCTGTCTCAAAAATTTTAAAAAAAAGCCAAAAGCCACATATATATATATATATGTATATAATAAAAGAAAATTATAAGTAATTATTATCACAGCATCCAAGTTTTGTTTTGCTTTACCTGGTTTGCACGAGGAGAGTGACCAAACAGCTTGGGACCCAATTTCCCTTACTGTCGCTGTCCTTTCCAACTGCTTAGGATCAGCACCAGGAGGTGTCTTGTTCGGTGTGGTCATTTTAAAATTATTCTGCGGAGAAACAAGCAATATTCATTATTCCAAGACTTGACCATCTTTCTTCAAATGTAAAAACAAAAGCTCAGTGCCGAGCCTTGTGGCCTAAGGCAGAGGCAGAAGCAGAAAGATTGGAGTTAAAGGCCAACTTGTTCTACACAGTTCCAGGACTACATGGGGACCCTATGTCAAATAAAATAAAATAAACTTTAATGACAATAATCACTCATATTCCCTTCATCTTTTATACCTTTTGTTAATCTTAGCAAAGGTATGATAACATGAGGAAGAAAAACTTCTTGGGAAGTTGAGAGTATGTTGAACTGCTCCGGTAACCGTTATGGCTACTCTACATTATTGTAAATCCTAAACAGAACCAATAGAACTATAGACCATCTCCTTGACACGTTCCTTCCGATTCCAAGCTATCCCTATAACCGCCACATCCACGAATCCTCTAAGTAATCACAGAGACATTATAAATTCCGTTAAACCCTGAATGGTCTGCCACCGGAGGAGGAGGGGACAGGACCCATCTCGACATCGGAACAGACTGAAACGACCAGCCAGGCGGGGAAACAAAAGGCTAGGAGAGGAATGGGTCCTGGACTTAAAGACTAACACTGCAGGAGCTGAGTACAGGACTGGGGATGCTGCCTGACGCCGCTACTCCACCAGGTCCGCTAAGGCTCCACCCCAGGCCCACCAGGCCTGAGCAGACAGCAAGCTCAACGCCACCGAGAACAGGGAAGAGCCAGGGCGGATCTCAAGCCGCGCTCGGACAGACCTGGTCCGCCACAATCCGTTTCCGCGGCGCCTACCGGTCCACGCCACTCCCACCGCAGCTCAGTGATTCCGGGCTCCCTCAGTAGACAAGAGTCGCAGACCAGTGACGTCAGAGGCGTCCACACCTTCCATCCACGGCGCTGACTCCGCGCTCCGGCGCGCGCGCACTACGCGCTCGTCCCTTGCGCGAGGCGGCGGCTGGACCCCGCCATCTTGGCCGGTGGCGGTAAGAACACGTTGTGCGTCGGAGAGCTGAAGGCTAGCGCCGCTCTGACCGCTGCACGCCCCGTTGTAAGGGGACCGTCGTCTCCAGGTACGTGAGCGGGCGGGAGGCGGCGGCGTCGGTGGCCGACCGCCGCCGTGGGAGCATGTGGGGACGCTCTCGAGTGCCCGTGGCTAGGCCTCGGTGGCGGGACCGTGGCGCGTGGCGCCCGGCGCCGGCTGCGCATCTGGGACCGCGGAGCGCTCCTCGCGTCCGCTCAGCCACCCCGGCTCGAGGCCGCCGTCCTCCAATCCCTGACAGCTGCCCGTCGCCGCAGGCGTCCGCCCTGCACCGGTGTCCACCCCGCACCGGCGTCCGCCCTGCACCGGCGTCCACCCTGCACCGGCGTCCACCCCGCACCGCCTTCCCTTCCCCCGGCTCCCACCCCGGAGCCGAGCGCTTTCCGGACTCACCGCGCCCCGCAGGCGCCCCCAGCCTCCTGTCACAGGCAGATGGCTGTGTTGTCACAGCATCGCTGTGGTTTCTCTTGTCCCTTTTAATGATTTTGGAGTGAGTCACGGCATCGTGCCGCCATGAAGCCCGGGGCTCCTACTCCTCCCAGGCTTTATAGAAGTGATGCGCAAGTGTTCTACTTTTCTCCCAGAGCGGCGTGTTCTCAGTTGAGACTCGAGTTGGCCCAAGTGAATTTACGAATTGAATGCTTTGGAAAGGCATTTTGTAGCACTCCTTACTCTTCCTGTTAGTGATTTAATCTTCTTTTCGTTTATTACTTCTTAAGCTTCTTGACATCAGGGATGGTGTCTTTATTCAAAATACCTCAGATACCCTTTTCAGACGCAGTACATTGTAGGCATTTAGTATTTGTTGCAAATAAATAATGGCCAAAGCTGAAATCCTGCACCCATGAGCTACATTAAGTATTTTTTCTTTTTTCAATGGTAAAATTGGTAACTAAGAAATAACTAACTGTCAAAACAGATTTTATTATTTTACACTCTTCTTTCCAGAGACTACTAACTAGGGAGTTAGGATAGTAAAGTCTGCGTTGTAATCACTGGGCCTGCGTACTGAACGTAGTCGTCCTGTGTCTCCATCAGTTGATAGTTACTGTATTCAGTGTAATCAAAAGCTTTTTATATATAGTTAACCAAAATGTATTTAAGGTTTTTTTTAATTAATGTAGCTTAGCTCACCTCTACAAACAAAACAACAAACACAGAAATTTGTTTCACAAGAACATTTACCAGTTGCTGAAAGGCAGTCCATTAAAAATCAAAGCTATGTGCCTTTCCCAACTTAGTATGCTTTACAGGGCTAATTTACAGGAAGCATAGGTCCTAATATTTCATGTGACCTCAGACTGTAAGTGTTTCCCATGTGTATGCCCACATCCATGTTCTCACTGTCCTGGAAGGATGGCGCCGAGCCATTGCTCTAAGTCTTCAGATCTTTATGTGGTCCCAGAAGTTCGTTGCTATAGTCTTCCTCTTCGAGCTTTTCTGTGTCAAGTTCTTATGGGAAAGAAGGGAACTCCTTTTCCCTAATTCTTGGAAATACTACTGAAGTTGAACAAATAGTGTTTACCTATGTAAGTAACCGTTATACAAAGAATCTACATTTATTTTTCTTAAATGTAAAATAATTTATTATGTAAATCAACTTTTAGCCACCTCTAGTGTGTTTCTGTTCCACATAAATATTGTATATTATAGACTTAATAATTTTAACAAAAATAAAGACCAACATAAACAATTTTATAGTGAAAGGGTTGTTTAATCTCTGAAAAGGAATTCATTTGCCAGGTAATTTGTTTAAAAAGCATTTTTTTTATTTGTATCAGAATGCATGATGCCCAGTTTAGTAGCAGCTTTGCAAAAATAGTCAATGTCTTAGAAAAATCACATGGTTTGACTTGGGGTTTTAAGTTAACTCTAAGGTAAAGTAAAATCGTTTCAATTTCTTCTTCTAACTTAGGAGACCTGGATCACTTTAAAGAAGTGACCTTGTCTGTCAGCATAGCTCTGTTAAGGTCTTATGTTTTTATTAACATAGCTTAGCTCAACTCTACCAAAAGAAAGTAGGGCATTTACCAGTTAGAAAGGAAGTGATCTGATGGTCTGTAAATGATGAAAATATTTAGGTCAGAGAGGAAAGCCTGTTTTTCGGGAAGAAGAGGGAATAATGTAGAGCAGCACTGAGTAGCAAGACTGCTTATGTCCCTCCAAGTCTAACCATTTTAGTGGCTCTGTTGATGGAGGTTCCCAGAAAGGCCAGCAAAATACCTTTGCAAATGGATAGTCTTGGCATTTGGATTCTTCATTATGTATTGAAGTAAACTAGAATCTGAAGGCAATTAGGATTTATTCTCTTTAGTCTCCAGAGGGAATTAATTAATATCAGTGCACCAAACCCAATATCAAAAGATTGTTAAATTTGCCTTGACCTAAATTCTGTGTAGATATTATATATCAAGACTTTAGGAAAGTCTTGAAAGCATGGTACATATGTGTAGTGAATTACTACTAATAGACAAAACCTGGACAGTGGATGATGGCCACAGCTCTATTTGTCCCTCGCCATCAGTAGTCAGTGTAGTCAATTGGAAAAGAAAATGAATTGATGATTGGTTTATAGGAACAAAGAAGAAACATCTTGAGATTGTGTGTGTGTGTGTTCGTGTTCATATATAGTTCATTTTATAAGTTAATGTTTGTGCAGTGGTGTTAAGTATTGAAGCCGTGGGTAATTTTTCAGTCTGTCAAGTCTAAGCTTGAAGTTTAATATTCCTGGTTATTCTTCCCAAAAGAGCTTTAGCTTTCATTGATTTGATATTTTCTTTTACCCAAGAGATTGGATTGTATAAAACTGAGATAACATATTTTATTTGGCTAAATCTTTTGGAATTTAGTGTTTTCTGAGTATTTTCCTGTGCATGTGTATTAAGTATATTTCTAGATGATTTTTGGTTTGGGTTGGGTTTTGTGATATTTTACATGACACCTGTTTTCTAATCTAAATCCAGTGTGTAAAGTTTTGTTTTTCCACCTGAATAGATTATTTTGCCGTTTCTAATCATTTTTACACTTTTCAATTTTCTGTTTGTTTGTTTTTTTCGAGACAAGGTTTCTCTGTAGCTTTGGTGCCTATCCTGGAGCTAGCTCTTGTAGAGCAGGCTGGCCTCGAACTCAGAGAGATCTGCCTGCCTCTGCCTCCTGAGTGCTGGGATTAAAGGCGTGCGCCACCATTACCTGACTACTTTTCAAATTTCTGAGCGCCAAATGATTGTGTCGTTTTATGGCCATTAATTATTTCTCTTTGGGTGATTACAATGAATTTGCTGTAACTTTGTTCATTTTTCTTTAATAGGCAAGCCAGATATTCTTTGTTACAATTATGGCAGACAAATTAACAAGAATTGCTATTGTCAACCATGACAAATGTAAACCTAAGAAATGTCGACAGGAGTGCAAAAAGAGTTGCCCTGTGGTTCGAATGGGTAAGCAGTTCTCTTGGCCATCTAAGGGTAGGAAGTGTCTTTGGGAAAGCAGATAGTCTGATATCTTCATAGAGAAAGCAGATAGTGTGATAGCAAATACTGTGCTAATCACAGATAGTTTCTCTGAACTACAAAGGTGAGAAATTTAAAATTATTCTAAGCTTTTTATTTTTTCTAAGTTTGTGACTAAGCGGTCTTTTAAAAGAACTTATAGAATATCATTATTAAGACATTCCCTAAATATACGGTCAAACCAAAAGTTAACTGCAATCCTTGTTATTCTATGAGATCCTGTAATTGAGTCACAGGGAAAGGATTACCAGAATCTTTACATTAGATGTTGTTTTCATCTTGAAACCAATAAATAAATAGATTTAAGGTTAATGGCAGTCATTTCTTGGGGTATTGCTAGATTTTTGAGACTAAGTAAACCTAGCAATTTGGAGCTAACAAATTGTTGGTGCCTTTCGGCCTTGGCTGCATGGCTACTGCCTTGTAGTGGTGTCTCTAGATGGTATCTGTTAATGTCTCCTGTGCTTTTCAGAAATTCAGTTTTTGAGGTCTGGAATGTTGTGCTTAATTTTACCTGTGTACTAGAAAACTGCATAGCTTTTTGGAGTTTTATTTACCTAGCTGAAATGCTTTATTCCTATCTATAGTATGCCTTTCCATTTCCAATACTTATTTTTTATGAGTTAAAGAGTCATTTATTATATGCAGGACTGTGGGGTTGCAGTCAAAAACAAATTTAGCCAGTCAGCGTAAACACAATAATATTTCAAGGTTTACCATTTTTACTAGTATTAGATAAACAATATATTGGCCATTTGCTTATTTTCTAACAAGAATACATAATTAATAAACACAACTGTTTAATTTAGGATGTGTTTCATCAAACACTAATGTAAGAAATTATCTTTGTCATTGAAACTTTTGTGTGGCATTTCCAGAAGCAGCATTTTCTGAATAACAATCTTAAAAGTGTTCTGACGAAGGAAATTATTTTTCTTTGCCAGGAAAATTATGCATAGAGGTTACACCCCAGAGCAAAATAGCATGGATTTCTGAGACTCTCTGTATTGGTTGTGGTATTTGTATTAAGGTAAGTGATAATATTTTATTTATCAAGTCAAAATAAACTCTTAAAATTCTAAATACTTTATTTTTTTAAAAAGCAAAATTAGGCCGGGCAGTGGTGACACACACGTTTAAATCCCATTTGGGAGACAGAGGCAGGCAGATCTCTTGAGTTTGAAGCCAGTTTAGTCTACAGAGCGAGTTCTAGGACAGGATCCAATGCTACATAGAGAAACCCTGTCTTGAAAAAACAAACAAACAAAAAAAAAGTATAGGTGGATAAATGAAAAAGTTTAAGAACATAATATCCTTATGACAATATTATTGCTTTTT